ATACGTCATGAGCTGATCAGATTGCATGGCGACTGCAAAACCGAGGGCCGTCTCTGGCACACGGAGGTGCCAGCTATTGTCCAACCTATCCTAGACAGAGAGAGGCATGCCGCCTGCTCGGATGGGTTGAAGAATGGTATTCTCAACGCTGGACGACATAAGAACTTTAAACGAGAAGCCGATTATGATGCTGAAGGGCGGGACAATGAAGAGGAGGGGAGGGAAGAGAAGAAAGGGCGACGTGTAGAAGGGACGGGAGAGGAGTGGAAGCAAGTTACGGTGAAGGAAGCAATTCTTGAAGGTCGAACCGATACAGGATTTGTCCGGCCCTCATTGTCTACTTCTGGAAGAGCCGAAGTCAGGTCTGCCTCTATCTCCGTCCACTGTGCAGACAGATGAGCATACGTGGGATTGCCTTCAATCCGCCCCTTTCCTCATCTTCCCTTTACATCTTTATACCCTTCCCAATAAGAGGGTGAAGTTGATTTTCGGCCTGGGGCCGTAAAAAGGCTTTCCAGCAGCCCCGGGTCTCCGGGAGTTCATTCAAACAGTAAACAACAGAGTCCGGCTTGTGACTGTCAACAAAAAGTCTAGACAGTCCTTGCTTGGATCATCAAAACCGAATGTAACCATTATCAGTTCTTAAACCATTACTCATTCATCCTCCTGAACCATCATTCATACCTGGACACACGCACAAACATAGAAGCAGAAACACATAGATTCATATACGCACGCCGGTGTGTGCATCTGTGTTTGTGCGCACCGAGTATACAGGACCAAGATACTCTGAATTAGTACAGTTACCTTCGGAAGAGGGTGGTTGTACACATGTATATGCACGTGAGCACCTACACGGGCATGAACATTCCATATGAATTGCACTGCTCTGCGTTTTTCCCTAACTTGCATTTCGAAATTAATGACTTCAATCGTTCGGTTTGTAGGCTTTTTACTGCTTATTGTAGTTAATGTCCTATTACTCTACCCTTTCGACTGGAATCTGTTTAGTCCAGACCTCAAATTTTATACAGTGATTTTTGCCCGTACCTGTGAGCAGCGGGCATGTGATCAGGCTTTTGGATGCCACTGCAGTATCCAGCTAATTGCCGTCTTCTAGCCAGCAATTGTGTGAACAGTAGATTTTTCTAGTCCCTCGCCTACATTCCACGGCTGTAATCATGGCTACCTGTGTTGATTAAGGCATCATCATTAATTCCTGTTTCGAATTTTCTCTTGATTTATTCTTTTCTGCTCTATGTGATTGTTGGGCTCACTTTTATCCACGAACTTGACGGCTTCTGGGCGGAAGCAGTAATAATGCAGTAAGAATAATACGAAACAAACAATAATTCATTCAGCGTCAACCAAGCAAATTTATGTACTTACATGCGCACAAGCGCAAACAGGGACAGACACACGGACAATGGATGTCTATACAGTCATAGAATGGGATACAAACTTACTTGCAAACATAAATGCTTGTATTTTTCGTATGTAAGCAGAGTTTCGAGACTAAATATCATATAAATGCTTGTAGTCGCAGATGGATAGACAAGAGAAGAAGCATATAGTTAAATGAGTAGTCGGGTAGACATAGAGACATACAAACAGATAGAAGCACTGAACTGGTAACAGAAGAATAGAAAAAGATGTTCATATTGAATAGTATTTATAATATTCTATCTTCTCTGTCAAAAATTGTGATCTACAGACATAACTAATTTAAAAAGTACATCATTACCCCTACTCAATCAGCAACCATAACCAACCGTTTTACAAGTTTAAGCAGGACACTGACCTCGCATCACTGAAAATGGCAGGCAAGTTTGACCCTTCGTAGTTAAGGCTAGCTATGCCGTGCGTTGGAACTTTTCAAGGATGTGCACCACTCCTCCGAATTTAAACGAACAATCGAAAAGGCAACATTCTACCGCCCCATACAAGCTTAGTGTGGCACTTTTTCGGCGAGATGGCCTTAAATTTGTTGGACCTTCTTACTCACACTTATGATTCCCAAGGGTTTCACATCGGAATCAGCATTTTCATCTCTTTTGCGGTTGAAGACATATCGAGGAAGTACCAGTTTTACCCGATAGGTCAACCGTCATGATGCCCATTTTGGAAAGTGCAGGGAAACTCTTGCTTTTTACTAAGCCTAGCTTACTTTTAATACGTTTAAACTATCCTATTTCCGATTTTCTTCTTTGCGATCAGCTGTGTTCCCACATCTACTATCTTCCATAGCAACGCACCAACCGATCAACTCGATGTGTTAATGTATGTATGTCCGTGTGGATCCTCAGAGTAGTTTGATACTCATGGGAACTGCCGTACCTATGTGATTCTAACAACGTACTTTGTGCAGGTGATAAAAGCAAATCTGTTATGAAGTGGAGCGTCCAGTTAAGGCCCCCTTTACCCTTATGGTGTTTGGTCGTGGTTGGTCACAAAATGAATGACAGCCTTGGTGAAAATTAAGCTTGAAATATTTTGGACGGGGGTTCCATGTTTTTTGTAAATCTAGTCAAAGAATTAATGGAGGGGGATAATATCATTTTAATCCGGGTAAAGGAAAGATTTATGCAAATGGAATCCTAAGAAGTTGAGGCTGCTAGATTGTCATTCTTCTGCAGAGTAACTAAAACGGCTACTTCATGTAGATAATATTGCACTTTTGAAAGGTAAAATACCAGTACACATAAAAATACTCAAATGGATAACTATTCAAGGGTTGGGCTCGCAAAGCAGACATATTGCTTCGTAATACAATTTCACACTGGCTTTATATGGTGATAAATTGAGGCTAAAATTTGATCATGTAAACTATTTTAAGGGGCTTACAGTTTGGTTATAGAGGCCACAGACCATGTGCTGGTGCCTCTGTGACGGAAGTAATTGGAACACAAACAATTTTGGCAAATGTATTCTTAGAAAGCTGAAGTGAGATATTATGGATATGCTGCGGGTCTGATAATCGGACTTACGCTGACTAAGGGTGGAATTACTCAGCACTAAAATGTCACTTATGATTAGAAGTTGTTTGACTTTGTTTTCGCACCTTGATCGTCTTGTCAGGACGACCTAGAGGAACGCGCCTTGACCGGATTCCAAAGTATGCAGGATAATATCCGGAGTCAGAGCGTAGACTTAGCCTATTCCTGCATTTTTCAGCTCTCCTGTTCATTAGACTACTTTCAGTCAGGATTTTGATGGCCTCTCGGATATTGCATTTTTTTATAGTTTCACAATATGCAGCCAACTCTTTGTCTATTTCCAGAGAAGAATCGTATGGGGTAAGAGGGCGACTCAGATAAGACCTGAATGATGAGAAAGAACGCTCAGCACAGTAGGTGGGTGATGAGGGAACCAGCAGGCAATGTGAATAGGTCTCACTGAATCCATTCAAAAGGTTTACATAAACAAGTAAAAATTGTGATAGCGAGGGGGTGTTACGAGGATAAAGGATAGGTGAACGAACCAAAACAGAAGGAGAGATACCACAAGTGTTTAACAGACAATTCGTCTAAGTAACGACTTCACTTTTCTCTTTCACAAATTGTAGTATAGCGCCAAGAGTGGCAACGGCTGGGAATATAGCAAGTCCACGGTTCTACTCTGAAAATTATCATGCATACTATGGACTCAGGATAAGGTGCGCTTCTCCAGGTCTCCGTGAGAATACGAACAAGTTGGGAAAACAAGGTAGAACAACTTCTATACAACGAAAGGAGACCTCGATCATGTAAGAGACCACACCATCTTAATCTGTATACGTTCGATTTCCCTTATAAGCGTTTACTGAAAGGCTTTCCGAAATGAGCATCACTTTTAATTGATATACTCGGAACAACCATCAAAAAAATAATTCTACATTGGGCTTCAAGCTTATTGAGAAATATTAGACTACTATCACAATTCCAATGGGAAAGAAAGTCCAGAGGCATACGGCATTCCGGTTAGTGCTAGTTTGCCACAACTTCGATTTGTAGTAAGGATATAAATGCACAATTATAAGCTGTTAAAGCCCTTCAATTGGGGGCTAATGATCATTGTTGATAGGGCGTGAAATGATGGTTAGATCCAGCTAAGATGGATTAGAGACTGAATCCCCATATTCAAGAGGTCCTCATTGAATGAAGAGGCATAGGTTAACCCAAATTTTAGGGCTTAGTTAGGCAAGAAAGCATGTTAAGCTTTTATTCAAGGTATAACCTTCAATTATAATGTAATAGATAATAAGTAATAATTCTAAAAAATGAGGTCTAGAAATCTTACACTAACCAGAATTGGGACGATTCGTTAATGGAGCTGACTTGAGATACTAAAATACATATTTAATTAACGTTACTACTCAAACGTATTAGGTAGTAAGCAAGCTTACAATATATCATTTTTAATAATGCCCAGAAAGGAGATCTTAATTATATAAAAATTAACTGGGTTTTGATGAATCTCATAAGATAACAATTTTTGGGAGATTTAAATTTAGTTAAAAAACGCGTGAAGATATTATAAGGCCGATATCATTAGAAGATGACGGCTGATTCGTGTTTTCTTTAGTAGTTTGTCTATAATACGACTTTGATGCAGCCCACTAGACATCCTCACTAGTTTAGAAGGAAAATCGGCTGAGCTTCAGTTCGTGATATGACGAACATCATAAGAACTGTGACTCCTTATTGCTAAAGTCTAATTTTAACACTAAGTCAAGTCTTCCAAACTACTGAGGTCGACCTAAGAGTCTCTTTAGCATGAATTCGAAATGAAAGGCTCCACAAAAGCCAACATATTCATCCTGTATGCACTCATCCTATTTCGTTTAAGGCGATAAGGAGGCTGATAGTTGAATTTTCCCACAATGCTATGAGTAGACATGACGCCTAAATTGAATTCCACATAGCCTTGCTTTCCCAAAAGATATTCTTATCCAGGGTGGACTGCAGTTTCGACCTTGCCTAGGACTTGTCAACACCCCTAGTGGGACTCGAATCATGGAATTTCAACGTATACTATCGAAACGTTAACCGCTATGCCACATTGCTACGAGTGCTCTTGGGTCAAAGGAAAAAATGTGAATTTTAAGAAAGGCCGAGCATTTTTTCATATCACATTCTGTGGCAGGAATGCCGATGGCTACATTTCTTTCTAGGCTACCAGTATATAATATTTAAGAGGTATACTCATCCTATTTGGTTAGGGTGATTAGGGATCTGGTGGTTGAATTTTTCCAATCCCACCACAGAATGGGGTATGGAAAAATGTCCAGCTTTTCCTGAAATTCACATTTGCCCTATGACCCAAGGGCACTCGTGGCAATATGGCGTAGTGGGTACGTGTCGAGATATTAAGCTACACTGTCATAGTTCGAGTCTTGCTGGGGTTGATGCTAATACAAG